CACGCGCGGACACACACAATTGATTGAATGAGGTAGCGAGAAAGAGAGGATTTCCTACAATAATTACAACCTAACATCCGGAAGGATGATGGGACGGAGAGAGATGCTTCCTGAACACATGGACACGTGTCCATGAGTGATAGAGAAGAATCATCTTGGTTGAAGAGTTCCATTACGCAACTGGACATGAAATGTTCTCAAAGAAAACGTTTCGCCTCTCATCCAAGAGGCTTCTTTAGTTCAAGCCGGTGGAAAACGTTTCGCCTCTCATCCAAGAGGGCTTCTTTAGTTCAAACCGGTTGTGTGGTGTGCAGCAGATATATACTGTAGGTGGGACAAAAAAAATATATGTGGGTGATAATAATGCATATAATGCTCTCTTAGAAACAATACCCAAAGGATTCACCTCAGTCAAAGAGGCATGCGACCGAAACAGTTCTGGTGAGGATTGCAACGATCCATCACACTCCTAACGACTGTTAACACTTCCCCAGTTGACCCCAACGGCCCACCCAACAGGAGCTTTATTCTTCGTCACACCCAGAGTATATATTTGCCGTACTCTCCACCACCAGATAGAACTGAAAAAAGCCTCATTGGATGAAAAGTGAAACGTCTTCTTTGAGAAGATGTAATGTCCAGTTGCCTAACAGAACTCCTCAACCTTGACCGTGACATGGATCTTCATTGACAAGAAGCATCTTAAGACTTGATCCTCAAGTGCAAAACTATTGTCTATTGTTTGTGTGTTTTTAAAGGGATAAAAATAACAGTCTCCGCTTCTCTTCAGGTATTTTTGGTATAAAGAAGATTAGACAACTTACAAAGAAGAGCCGATTTTGATCATTATAAGCAGTAATTAAAACACCAGTAGCAGGAAAGACAGACCCCCTCCCACCCCCAGTCCTCCATTCCCTGATTCAAGTCTAAGACATAAGTCAAGTGGTTCTGATGTTTCTCTCACAGTTTCATTTAACACCAGTTTGGGCAAAATCAATCAGACAAAGGCAGAAAGAAATAATAACCTGAGCGCAGACGAGGGAGTCGTTCGCGTTTACTTTCTTTCTTATCCTACGTTTCATCTGCAAACCTTTGATTTCTATTTACTTTGAGGTAGAGAAACATCTCCCTGTGTTTAGGCGGCATTGATCCCGCCGCAGCAGCAGGTTGGAATAAAGACGTCCTGTCACCAGATTTTCTCTCCTTTTTTTTCCCTTCACAGCTTCTCTCTCCTTACAGCTGCTGCTGATGCCGAAGCGGGTTACGGTGTTAAACAGCAAGCTGCTAAATGTTCCCAAAGGTAATAACATCAGCATATACATACATTCAGCTGTGCCACACTTCCAGAGACGGGAAGTTTAGGAGGAGAGGGATTGAGGAGGTGAGGAGCAGGAGGAAAGGGAAAGATATGTAAATAATTAACAAGACAAAGAGGTGAAAAGGAGAAGAAGGTTTTCAATCGTAGACAGTTGTGTTAATAATTATCTGACAATGCTGAGCTGTAACTGAGTCGGGGTTTTTTTTCTACCGTTTGTGAAAAAAAAAACTCTTTAAAAAGTTTATGAACCGATTATTTTCTCTACCTCAGGGGGGTTAAACTCATTTTCACCTAGGATGGCCACATTAGCAATACAGGTTCCCTTGAAGGGCTGGCTGTAAGTGGAAGACTGTATCGATGTAACTACTCCATAATGTATAATATATGTTTCTGCAATTGATTATTGTTTATTTAGGTTACAAATATTGAACATTGCTGTGTAATAATAAAAACATTATCAGGTTAACAAATATTGTACATTGCTGTGTAATAATAAAAAGGTTATCAGGTTAAAAAAGCTCCACTGGGCCACACAAAATGACTTGGTGGGCCACATATGGCCAACGGGCCTTGAGTTTGACACATGTGCTCTATAACTTGGTCATTATTGTTTATTATCACATTTGAGTTCTTCATTATCTAAACTACTTTCGCATCTACAGTCATGAGTACGAGAGTCACTTTAATACAATAGTACCAAGTATCAAGTACATTCATTGAAAGTGTGTTTCCATGCAAAGCCTTTACTGTAATTACAGTCAATTATTTTCCTTGCCTGAAAACCAACAAAAAAGAAAATTAAAGCACTGGAAAACATTTATGGATTTAAAAAAAATGCAAAGTCATTTTTTTTTTTGTTGTAATGAAATGTATTCCTGTCCTTTTTTTCTCCGTATCATTTCTTTTTTCCAGACGGCGTCTCACATTTCACAACGATCAAAGCAACGAGGAAGGATAAAGAGACGTAGCAGAGCAGCATTTGCCATTAATCACTGAGGACGAGCAAGAGGAGGAGGAAGAGGGGAAGGGTGAGAACAGTAGAGACAGGATGAGATAGTGATAAAGACACAGAGGTCCTAGCACAGCTCAGCGTGGAACTGTCTACTCCTTTCAGTCTGCCGTTTGAGTCCAGGAGAGGAGCTAAGTGTCGGTTAAGCTGCTTTTCAATTGTGAGACTGAGAAATATTACAGTGTTCTGTATTTGAATGTCTTCCCAATATTTCACAAAGTCATAGAATAACACAAATGTTGACGGAAATTACATGTCTCCTTTGATTCTGTTTCTTACCCTAGAGAACCTGTTTTGACCTTTTTTTTAATTTCAGATTTATTTTGTTGTGTATTTCATTTAACCTGTCTTGTTCTGTGTTGCCTTTTTTGCTTTAAGTTTTATTCATGTTTATTGTTCATTTTGTTATACTTAGATTTTAGAATGGGAGAATTATCCGAATGTTTGCCACTGTCTCTTGAATGAATGTAAACAAAAAGAAATCCATAACAGATTATTTATAAAAGAGATACTTTGCCATTTACTGTATAATGTGAACAATATGTTTGGTTAAACCTAGTACTTCTCAAATAGTGGGGTGGGACTCGATGAGGTGCCGGGGTTGAGAACCACTGAGTTAAACAAATGAGGGGATGAAAAGTCACGGACCGTCCATTTTGGCACCGCCAATTTTTGTATTCAAAAATTGTCTTTTTATTTAAACTTGTGTTTGTCCGGCCGCTAAAGTGTCTGTCCAGAAAAATTCTGCACCTCCGACAAATATAGTTGGAGGCCCGTCATAGATACATGACATGCATCACCGCACCATGTAGATACTGTAACCAAATAACTAAGAAATTGAGAAATTAACTCATCACTTGCGAGGTTCAGAAAACATGGACAAGAGAGACGACGAATACTTAGACAACACAACAGACATGTTCCTACGGTTCTCGTTTTCACAAGTTAAAAAAAAAAAACAGACTGCTCCTGCTGTTTTCAAAACACAGAACAATAACCTGGCCACACAACTACTATGGAGGAGAAAATCATAAAAAAAAAAAAATGTTTACAAAATTGATGGGTAAAGATTTGCAGCCTTTCCTTTTTACCACAACTGGCCTGCCCCTGTCTTAGAAATTTCCATATGTATTAGTTACAACTAAGTATTTTTATTGTAATTGTCACACTTTGTTTTGCTTTGAAGCAATTTAAAAGTTGTTACTTTCTGATGAATTATGTGCCTTTGTTGAGATATTTGGAGTGTTTTACCTTTTTTTTTTTTTAAAGAAATTTTGCTGTTTATGAGAAATTAGATATAATGAAGTCTCCTAACACACTGCCTCATAATCCAATCCAATCATGCTGTACCCAAAAATTTCATGCCCACTTTGACTAAGACCGGGGTGTGCAAACTTTTTGACTCGCAGGCCACAACGGGTCCAAAAATTTGACAGGGGGGCCGGGTCAGGAGCAGATAGACGGAGCGTTCGTAATAACTAAAACAAATGCCATGTAAAAGTCATAAAGGCTAAAATGCTAAAATGCTTTAATCCTTTTTTTTACGCCATCTATTGGAGAAATGCAGGCATTGCAGGGAAAAGGCATAAGCATCATGATAAAAGAAATTATTAACATAATGTGGACAAGTTTGGCGGGACGGATTAAAAAGCCAAACGGGCTGAATCCGGCCCCCGGGCCGTAGTTTGCCCATGCCTGACTAAGACACGTTTCTGGACTAACATATAGCTTTGTTATCTATTTTTAGCACTTTTACGTTGTTTCTAAGTGCGTGCAACATCGTCCTCTTTATAACCACACATGACGAGGCTCTAACTCCAAATCCACAGTCCTCCAAACCCTCCCCGCTCTGTCCATACCTATTTTTATTTTATTATTTCTCTCCCTGCCATGAATAAATTTTGTCTGTCCCGGACATGAAAATGTCAAATACCTAAAATACACCTAGGCTAAATAGCATATTAATTTTTAATGCCTGCTCATCCTTTGCTGCTATTCTCATATCAGGCCTGTCTGCCGACAGCTGTTGCTGGCTCTGTGAGCCGGGAATTTATCATCCATCTCCTTCTCGGGGCAGGGAGGAAGGAGGGAGTGAGGGAATAAAACAAGAGGGGGAGAGTGACAGAGGAGGGGAAAAGATCTGTTGTTTTCAACACTAGCCACCACCTTTTTCTGAAACTTCTACTTTCTTCCTGATATACGAGTACGATTCAATTACACTAATGCCACACATAAATTCTTCAGATTTCTTTTTTTCCGCCTCATCCTCCTGACCTTGATGTGTATATGTGTGTTATCAGGGCCAGGTTTTGCAGAACATTTTGACAAAGAACGTTAACATTTTGCCACAGCTTAATAGGGATGTTCAGGTCTTCTTCGCTGACTATCGCATCACCAGCTCAGAAGACCGGTCTGACAGGGGTTGGTGGGTTCAGACATGCTCAAAAAAGTGTGTCTTGTGTCAAAAAGCTGTTAGCTTGTGTCAAAAAGCTGTTAGAAAAAATCAGAATCTAGCTTCCCGTAACACGACAGTTGCTGGTCAGATCAAGTACGGAGGTCTAGTAAAAACCTTTTAATTAGTAATTGTAAGATTGTAATATGTATTTGAGTACGACGTGTTTTCTTGTGCCCGAACCGATCAATAAAGAAGAATGGAGATCATTACGAGCTTACCTTAAAACCACTCCTGCATACTGGAGTCAAAGCTGTGTGTCAGGATGAAGAGGCCTCTCACTCGCGCTGCTGATTGACTCTACTGCTCAATGAATGGACACCTGAAAGAAACAGAAGAGAGAGGTGGCGATAAGAAGGTGTGGTGGGACGGAGCAGGCAGTTAGAAATGGAGAAGACGTGAGAGATGAGGTGATAGCACTGTGCAAAAGTTCCAGGACAGGCATGGGTAAACTAAGGCCTGGGGGACGGATGTGGCCCGTTCAGCTTTTGAATCCTGCCTACCCAACTGTTCCAAATTATATAATTTATTTATATTATCATTAAACTTCTGCCTTTTCCCTGCAATACCCACGTTTCCCCAATATATGGCGTCGAAAATGATAAAAGCATTTTGGCATTTTAGCCTCATGCATGACTTACATGTCATATATCTTAGTTTACACGAACATTCCATCTATCTGCTCCTGATTCAGCCTAGATTTATTTTTTTATATATACTGTACATATTTCAGAGATGGGATTAGGTTTTTTGAGCTTAGAAAATTATAAAAGCATTTTATCCTTTATGCATGACTTTTACATGTTGTTTATCTTAGTTCGCATGAACGCTCCATCTATCTGCTCCTGCCCCCCCCCCCGCCCCCCGTCCAATTTTAGAACCCATAGTGGTCCGCAAACCAAAGAGTTTGCCCACCCAGTTCCTACCTAGACCTATTGTATAACCCACCACGGATCTTCTATTGGTATAACCTGGATTAATGTTTTGTCCTGTCCTCACACGGACTTCGTGATATTCGTAATATTAAGACCGTGGCTCTATAACACCCTTCATTCATCACCATGATTGTGTTGTTTTTTTCTGAACAGTCCTTTTAAGAAGGGGTGTCATACTTTACGAAATGTCCCTCAGCAGTTTAAAAGAGTCCCTATTTACATTGTTGTTTGGCTCTGAGTGAAAATAAACCATCACCCGTTATAGATACATTTGAACTTATTAGTTTAATATCCTGCTGATATTTCCCTGCACTTTGTTTCTATGTTTTTTAGTTCATTTCTAAGTTTGTATTTAAGGGTTGGCTTCGTGGCCAAAGTTCTGCCACAAAGACCACTTCTGGCCACAGTTTTGTACAGATGGGTGTTCCTGGCCCTCTGCCAGTTCTGAGCTGATGGCAGTGCTAGAAATTTGGCGATCTCTAAATTTTCCTTGGCCGACCACTGAGTCTGCAATTCTTAACATTGCCTCTTTGGTTGTGAACTGTGAAGAAAGCCTCAAAAGCATGTTTTAAAATTCTGGTCTGCTTGAAAATCTCGTCTGAAAGAGACGTAACACTATATAATATAAATACTACGATTACTAGTATGGAGGTACATCTACCTTCTGTATTTGTTCTATGAATATATGTATGTATGTATAAGTATATTTGTTTCTGTTTTTCTCTGTTTTTTAAAAAAGAATCTCTGTCTGTCTGATCAGAAAATCAACCTTTGGGCGTAAAATGTTTTTTTTTTTAAATGATTGTAAATCAATAATAATAAAAACTAATAAGGATTTTATTTGATTTATTATTACAATATGTAATTGAAAAATTGTAAAACATATAATATTTGTAGAAGAATTCTTTCTTAAAACAATGAAAAAACTGTTGCGCAGTTCTGTGATGTATGCGTGAAGATCAAAATAAAATTTTTAAAAAATCCAACTAATTTTTTTATTTTTTTTTTTTTAACCGAAGAGCGACAAAGCTGCAGAGGTCAAGGGAATGCAGTCAGAAAAAGGTTGAAGATGAAATCAAAGCTGGCTTGGCTGCGATGCCCGGAGGCACGGTTGAAAATCTATCCCTCCAAGGCAAGGCCACCACCAAGGAGAGGAGCAATAGAGAAGGAGAGGAGGGAGAGACGAGGAGCTAAATACTGCACGCCACTCGGGGATCTTTCATTTTCAACCGATCAATACAGGCTTATATTTATCAGGGCCTCTGAGCAGCTGCCACATCTGACAACCTCCACTTCATTTCCACACTCCTCCTTATTCTCCTTCTCCTTCTATGCCTTATCTTCACCACCTCCCTCCTCTTTTCCCCTGTTCTTGTCCTCCTCCTCCCTTTCACCCCCTTATGCCAAATTGAGACCCATCGACCATGAAAAGTGGCAGAGATCCTGGACTGCCATTAACCCCTGTTGTGTCACTGAGACATTCGAACACACACACACAGGCACTAGCGCACGTGCACACACACACACACACACACATGCACAGAGAGACCCTGGAGATATAATTCAGCTAAAGGTCTGTGGCCCTCTGCTTTGAAAAAACATGCCTGATTATTATTACAGCCCTGGCACAGACACCAGCTCCTCCTCATGTCTTTGTCCCTCAGGATACCCAAGGCTTACACACACACACACACACACACGTGTGTGTACAGACACACAAATGGCGTACGCACATACAGATCTGTCACTAAATCAACTTCTATTTATTTACAAATCCTCAAAAAGCCTCCTCCCTGACTTTTACTAAAACCAGTTAAGACGTAAAAATCAAAAATTAACGTAACCACAAATCACATCCTAATCTGGACTTTAGCCAGAGCCCCAGAAATAGGGTTGTGTCTTGTATGGATTAAGATACGCTGCTGAAATAGTCTGTGAATTTTAACAGGAACAGTCCTAACGTATACAAACATTATTTTTTATGAAAAGTTCAAATGACTTTGATTTTGACAGATGACTTTCTAGTGACTTTTATTTCTTTTAAAATTAGAAGTCTAAACACATGTTGGTGGGATTTACATCTGGTGATTGCTTAATGCAGGGAACTTAGACTGGTGTAAAAATGGAACATACTATATTATCTGGACTATAAGTCGCTTTGGAGTATAAATCGCACCAGCCAAAAATGCATGAGGATAAAAAAATATATAAGTCACTTTTTTAATGACTTTTGTAGCTGTCTGTGTGAAAATAACAAACCTGTGAAATTATATATTTTAATATATAAGTCACGCAAACGCAGCCAAAATTTGAAAAAAAATGCGACTTATAGTCCGGACAAATTTCAGCAGATACAATTACCTAATTGTAGGATAACAAATAGCAAACTAAGTAACAAGTCTTCATTTCCGTTGAGCATGCATAAGAAGGATTCCTGTCAAATATTTCTAAAGACAATTATTGGCTTCTCTCATGTTAGTTGATATAAATACTCAAGGATTAAAGGCTGTGTCATCGATTGGTTTCCAAACTTTGTCATTATACCATTGACTATAGTCAACTATAGGAACTTTTCCAGTTCCGATATCGATACTGAAACCGAGACTTTGCACACTGGCCCGATCTCATAATCTTGTTAAATTTACAAAGTCAATACCTCACTAATTGGTTGTTATTACTTTAATTACTTTAATATAATTTTAAGATTTGTTCTTCATTGTTTAAATATATCATTATTAAACTAAGTGACTAAATACACGTGCATTAAAATTACAGTTCAAAGCAACAAATCATTCAAACACACAATGCCTTCGGACATAAACGAGAGCAGCTGAAACAGAAAATGAAAAAGATGTGAACTTGATTTAATTTAAAATAAACAAGAATAAAACTCTTTTGTAAACATTCAATGCAAACAGGAAATTAAAACCCTTCAAAAAATATAACAACTGAAACTGAGAGTACACAGCTATTTCAACTCACTTGATTAAAAAAAAAGAGAAAATAAACAGGAATGAAACATATTGTGCACAAATGGGAAAGGGCCATTGGGTGCTTCTCAGAGCTCTAGATGCGAAAGGGGTGGCGAAGGTCATTTATTTTAATTCTTTTTACACAGTTTCTTGGGCAGTTCATGCAAAACGGTTCAGAAAATATTTAATCCTGATGACAAACTAAACCTTGAACCAAAGTGTATAAGCAGCCATCGTATTACTAAATTCTGGTGAAAAGTTTTATTTAAAAAAAAATAATGAATATCTTTCTCATTTGGATATTTAAATTCAGGAATGTAAACCAGGAGGTCTGTAAAAAAAAAAAAAAAGTTGTTCTGTTCATCATCACAACAATATTCGCTGTGAGGCATTTTAAATAGATAATATCTTGTCCATCTGTGTCATCATTGATTTATAAAGCATTAAGCTGCTTGCAGAAAAAGCTGGGGCCTTCGCGCCTCCCTCTGCTCCTCTGTTAAAGGAGCATCTCTACCAAGCAGGGCCACAGCAAAAATGATTGTGTCGCTCCCCCTAACCTTCCCTTTAATCGCCAGACGAGTGGGAAACCAAATAGGACCGGGGGTATCGTTCATATGTGTTATTATATGAAGGAAAAGACGAATCCAAAATTCCCTGCATCTCTTTTTGTTTGACGCGTCTGTACAGAATGGAGCGGAGGAGAAGGAGGAGAATAAGAAGAAGTAGGAGGAGTAGGAGGAAGTAGAGGGAAAATACATAGAGAATGTGCACATAAGAAAAGTGCACACAAACACATGTGCAAAGACACATTGGTTAAAAGAAAAAAAAAAAAGAAGAAAAAAAAACAAGGGCCATGATTAACATATGAATGCTGTATGCAAATGAGAGAGAGAGAGAGCAGATGTTGGTGCATTTAATTGACCTATATGTGAATCGCATCCAAACCTTTCACTATGTTTTTTTGTGTGTCCAATGAGTGCAGCTCCAACCAGATTTGCCAATAAATAAAGAAACAACATTTTTTCTGTCTAACAACTAATGTTTATATATTCTAGAGTCAACCGGAATCAGTAGGAAAATCCAGTTAAAGTTACTTAAAATGATTTAAATTGGTTCTTGAACTGCTCCATACTATTTACTGATTCTTCAAAACCAATAAAAAAAACAATCAGAACAAAGTCAGTTAATGCATAAACAACTCAAATTAAGTAAAAATCTGTTAGTCAGTTAATGCATAAACAACTCAAATCAAGTAAAAATCTGTTTAAAAAAAATTGCCAAATGATTTGATGTTAAACACTTCTCTGTTCTTAAGTGGGCAGCATAAATGCAAATAGCTGAAAAGAAAGTTGCTAGAAGTAATACTAAGAATACTTAATGTAGATTAGCAATTGATTAACTTTAAAAGTAATTTT